CTTCCTTATCTGTACAACTTTAGTACTTCATAAATATACTGACATAACTCGGTAATATGAAGCTCTTCATTCAAAAGTGATTGGACACTCAGATAGTTTAACATATTATATTTTTATCTCACTGGTTGGGAGAAAGGACACTCAATTAGCACATGTTCTTCACTCTGAACTGCCATTTGATCACAAGCACATACTCTCATTTCTCTTGGTGTTCTGCTCCACCTTCCAGTCTCTACACGCAACTCATGAGACATTACTCTTAACCTTGTGAATGCCATTCGCAAATAATCTGGTACAAACTCTTTGCTACTATACACTTTATGTACTGTCAACTGACTATTTAAAATTTGTCTATATGTAAGATATTTTGTGGCACCTTCGGGTTTATTCAGTATTACAGTTTTTATTCCACTTAGAGCAGAAGCTTCCACATTATTTGCAATATATGAATTTAAGAATTGATAACCAGGTGTATTTTTCCGTCTGCAGATGTCAAATACCACATAGAAAGGTTCGTTCTTCATTGTTAACCTGTTGCATTTTTTTGGTTAATAATCCCCTTCTTCTTTCATTAACTTCATGTACTAAAGTTTCCAAACCACTTTCTATTAAACATAAGGATATTGAAGTGTTGTTTCTCACTCCCAATAAACACTTTACTGCCCTGTTATAAAGTTTTTCCATGCAAGCTAAATTACTTGTGAACCAACTCTCAGAACCATACAAAAGTGAAGAACTCAAAGCAGCTTTAAAAACTTTAACCTTATATGCATAGGACATACTCATGTTATTTATGCAGAATATACTAAACTTATTGACTGTTGCTGTACCATCGATTTCATGCTGTTTAAGTACTGAGTGCATATTTGCATCATCAGTAAACCATGCACCTAAGTACAGATACTTTTTACAATAATCTATTTTTATGTTGTTTATCACTATTGATGCGTTATCTCTCTGTCTTTTCCATTAACAACAAAATACTTTGTCTTCTTTTCATTAATCACCATACCATAAGCATTACAATAATCTAATAGAGCCTCAAGTTTTGATATGCACTTTTCACGAGATGTACTTACAATCACCGTGTCATCCATCATTAAAAGAGTATGTAAATTTCCCAAAAAACCATCAATTCTCACTTTTTCTTTAATCATTCTCACCATTTTATCCATATAAATGACAAACAAAATGCAGCTCGTAGGAGCTCCTTGGCGTATACCTATAGATGTTGTTATTATAGCAGATTTTAACACACTTTTTGTACATGAATAAATATTTTGGATAGCTGACAACATAACCCTTCCACATCCCACCGACTTGAGACACTCGATTAAATCATATTTTGGTACCCTGTCGTACGCCTTACTAAAATCCACAAAAACTATATACAATTTTTGCTTCTTGCAAGCAGCATAATCCATCAGTAACCTTAAAGCCAAAATCTGCTCTATACACCCTCTACCCTTCTGAGCTCCGGCCTGACACTTATCTATATTAAACCATAAACTTGACCGTCTCATCAAAAGCATATCATAGATTTTTGCCAAGGCGTTCATTATACTTATGCCCCGATAGTTTCCGCAATCTCTTCTATCCCCAGATTTAAATAGAGTGATCAGTTTATTGTGGCACCAAGCAAATGGATAAAGGACATTTAAGAAAAGGAAATTAAAAACTGTGAGGAAAAAGGATAACCATGTCTGTGGTAGCATCGTAAATAAACCAGGACACATTCCAATATAACTCTTATCTTTTTTTTATACTTTGCACTGCCATGTCTAACTCTTGAGCAGTAAAGGGATCATCCAATATGGGAATATTAGGTGAGTCTGACACATCAATGATTTGATTAGGATTAACTGTCGGAGGATTAAACAAATTTTCGAAATGCAATTTGAAATTGACATCTTCAGGTTGCACATCATTGGGTTCCACCACATTGCCATTCCAGTTAATAGATTTCCATATAATTTTTGGATAATTTTTCTCAAATATTCTCCTCCATCGAGGGTGGTCTTGATCCCATCCATTAAACTCTAACTCCCCAGATTGAAAAACTCTGCAGTCTCTTGCTACATTATTGATAATCTTATTACCTGTCTCTAAAATATTAAAAATTTTCTCTTTATGAATTTCAAATAATTCTGGGGGCTGAGTTTCATTCATGACTAATTTGAATCCATCCAAGTCTACATTCTTATGGGAAGGACCCCGGATTGTGTAACTGTTTTCAATATATTGAACATTATAGCAAGAACTACCTAAATTTAAAGCCCTCTCCATCAGCAAGGATGGCACTGTTTCCTGAATATCATTAAGATCAAGTTGAACCATTAGTGGGGCGTGGTCAGATCCTACAATATTCTGGTTCATTTCAACAGATTTTACATATTTCAGTGTATTTTCTTTTAAGACACATACATCAATCTCAGATATCCAATTTGATCCTCTTTTAAAGGATAAACCTCCTTCTAACTTTTTACCCTTATATACAAGGTGATTACCTATCACCATTGTGCTGCCACGGCAAAGGTTCAGCAATTGTCTCCCATTTTCATTCACACTTGTATCTATTACCCCTTCATATTTGTATGATTTGAAACTTTCATCATAAAGAATAGGTATACCTACACGCGAATTCAAATCACCCATTAGTACAACCTTACTGTGTTCATTCACAACTGCGCTTAGGTTACCAAAACAAGCTGGCTGAAAATAAGGAGAGTCATTCGGTGGTATATATACCCCACCAAATGCAAAGCCTGGAAAACATGACAATTCTAGCAAAATTTGACCTTCAACATTTACATTTACATTTTTTATATATTTTGAAAGCGAGCATTTTACAAGCATTGCAACGCCTCCCCTATTACCACAGTACTTAGAGGGGTTATGATAAGTGTAAAATCCTGGTACACTAATGCGAGCAATAGTTTTTATTTCCAAAAGCCACACGATATGAAACCCGAGAATAAATGATAAAATATCAGAATTGTTCAATTTGTCCTTGACACCTGCAATATTCCAACAACACATATTGAGCTCACTGGTAAATACGCTATTTTGTGCACATCTTAAAAATACGAAGGAGCATACCTGTCAATAATTTCACCATCACGTAATAATATACGACGCTGATTGTCGTAATGGATATTAACACCTTGATTTTCTGGTCTCTCCTTTTCTTCTTTCTCCCTCTTCCGTAGTCGAGCAAGCTCTCTTCTTACAGCAAGAAATGTGTTAAGAATACAGTTCAGTGTTTTTCCAGCTATAAAAAAGTTTCTCTAATAGTGACACTACATCTTTCAAGACATATGTTTTATGAAAACAATCCAGTTTTCTTCCAGTTAAAAACATGTTTGATCTTTAAAGACATTCCATTGCTAAAAGATATAAATATACAGGTGTTTATTTCAGTTGTGGATTGGAAGTGTTTTTTCAAAGATACAAAAACGAATTCCAGTGTCTTTCCAGATATAAAAGTCAAACTAGAGATGCTTTACGAACACATTCTTGTGTTTTTTCAATCGATACAGTAGAAGTACTCATCAAATACATTCAGAAATTAGTTGCTAGAATACAGAAGAGGTGATCTCTATTGACCCTCAACGGTCTTTAAAAATGAAATCCTCTATGAAAACATTCAAGAGATTTTCCATGAGGTACAGTGTAGTAAAATCTGGCGTTTTCCAGTTTTACCAGTACTTGAGTAAAGGCTCTCCACGGTATTTAAAAAAAAAAATCCTTGTATTTTACATTTGAGTATTTATAAAATCAACAGAAGGCCAGAGAGAGAGATACATGGATAGCTATAGATACACAGATAGACAGTTAGATAGATAGATAGACAGATAGATAGACAGATATAGATAGATAGATAGATAGATAGATAGATGGGACGACATTAAAATATTTTTTTTTCATAGTCAAGGTACTGTGTATTTACATCCAACTCTCTTCCCGTTTTATCAGCAATAAAATGAAGGTACTCAAACGGTAGCGTCCGCGACTCTGAGGCGTCAGGTCGAGGGTTCGCGCCCCGTCACGGTCTGAGGCTAGCAAAGGCATGCACTCAGGGAAACGATTACATCTGCCAAAACAAGTCCTTCGCAAGAAGGCAACCGTCCTAGCCCTTGGTTGAAAAGGGAGTCCGTGACGTAAAACCGTGAAAAGTTAAGGTACTCATTGGTAACGTCCTATTATCTTAAAGAGGAAGATGCTTTATAAGCAGATTCCAGAGTCATTCTAATTTTAAAGATGAGGCAATTTAACTCTCCAGTACTTTAAAGAGAGGGAGACTTTAAGAACACGCTCTAGTTTGTGTGTGTGTGTGTGTGTGTGTGTGTGTGTGTGTGTGTGTGTGTGTGTGTGTGTGTGTGTGTGCGTGCGTGCGTGCGTGCGTGCGTGCGTGCGTGCGTGCGTGCGTGTGTGTGTGTGTGTGTGCGTGTGTGTGTGTGTGTGTGTGTGTGTGTGTGTGCGTGTGTGTGTGTGTGTGTATAAACTAAAGGAGAGACACAATAACATTCTATTGCTTTCCTATCTATAAATAAAATGAACACTGAAAAATAAACTGTGAAAGAAATGTGAGTTCTCAAGAGGTTGACCTCTTTATGCAAAAATCAAATAATATTTAAGATGAATAGCCATGCTTGCAACCTATTCGAGAGAGGAAGATGAGGTGATTCTTACAACTCTGTGATGACAACCAAAGGACTTTTATTCTGAGAATTAATTTATTGACATTTATCAAAATCTTCAAGAAAACGCTGACTGCTAAACAAGCAAAAAATTGAATTATCTGTCAGTTTCTACATTATAACTGAGACTTAAAGAATATACAATAGGGCCATGGTTGTTTGTTTTAGATTCCCCACCCACGGATGGGTGGAACGGGTCATGGAGGACCCATAGGGCGGTCGCCAGCCGGCACAGGCCCCAAACCCCCCCCTGTGGTACCCAGCCACAGCAGTAACCTCCCAAGTAAACAGCTTAAACTCTCTTGCCTGGACGAGGCGCGATCTCTCGACCTCGGGAATGCGAGGCCAGCGTGTTACCACTGTACTAGCCAGGAGGCTGGGGTCACGGTAGCTCAGTAGTAGAGTTCGCGAGTCGGGAAGAGACTAATTTGGGTTCGATCCCAACGTAGGGCGTTAGGAAGGTTATCCAGCCTTAATTCTCCAGCTCCAAGACATCTGTGTCCACCCCCATATAAATGGGGACTGTGAGATAAAATGGTGCATTACTTTACGGAAACACAAATATAAGTAATGTTTACAACAAAATGGGAAGAGCGTAAAACAAGCGTCCAAAGCCTACTGCACTTTGCCATAGAGGTCAAAATACAAAATAAACTATAATTTCTAATGATGTTCCAGTACTTACAGAGTGAGCGATAACTTTTGCTGATAATCCAGAATTTACAGAAGAAATGGAAAATTCTGCCGCTGTTTCAAAGTAATTTTCGTTCAATATGGCCAGATGTTTTAAAGATACACTTTACCACAGAGGTAAAAGACACGTGTTTCAGCATATCATTTTGCCACAGAGGTAAAAAAAAAAAAATTCATTGTGACTTCTACAGATATTTCACAATTACAAATTTATTTACATTTCCTGAAAGTGAGAGTAACAGTATTTACCAGACACTACTAAAGCCAAGAGTAAATAAAGAAAATGAGCTCCACGTGGTTAGGGTAAGAGAGCTTCGGAGGGAGCGGCCTGCCCGATTAACCGTAGCTACAGAGACCTCCAGAGGGAAATTAGGCCTAAATTGCCCAGCAGAATTGTCCCTCCCCCCTCTCTCTAGAGATGAGATCTTCTTCTCATTCCTTCTCTCGAGATGAGGAGCTCTTCTTATTCTTATTCCTTCTCTCGAGATGAGAAGCTCTTCTTCTTCTCCTTCCTTCTCTCGAGATGAAAAGCTCTTCTTCTCATTCCTTCTCTCGAGATGAGAAGGTCTTCTTCTTCTTCTCATTCCTTCTCTCGAGATGAGAAGCTCTTCTTCTTCTCATTCCTTCTCTCGAGATGAGAAGCTCTTCTTCTTCTCATTCCTTCTCTCGAGATGAGAAGCTCTTCTTCTTCTCATTCCTTCTCTCGAGATGAGAAGCTCTTCTTCTTCTTCGTCTTCTCTCATTCCTTCTCTCGAGATGAGAAGCTCTTCTTCTCATTCCTTCTCTCGAGATGAGAAGCTCTTCTTCTCATTCCTTCTCTCGAGATGAGAAGCTCTTCTTCTTCTCATTCCTTCTCTCGAGATGAGAAGCTTTTCTTCTTCTCATTCCTTCTCTCGAGATGAGAAGCTCTTCTTCTTCTCATTCCTTCTCTCGAGGTGAGAAGCTATTCTTCTTCTCATTCCTTCTCTCGAGATGAGAAGCTCTTCTTCTCATTCCTTCTCTCGAGATGAGAAGCTCTTCTTCTTCTAATTCCTTCTCTCGAGATGAGAAGATCTTCTTCTTCTGCTTATTCCTTCTCTCGAGATGAGAAGCTCTTCTTCTCATTCCTTCTCTTGAGATGAGAAGCTCTTCTTCTTCTTATTCCTTCTCTAGGGATGAGAAGCTTTTCTTCTTCTCATTCCTTCTCTCGAGATGAGAAGCTCTTCTTCTCATTCCTTCTCTCGAGATGAGAAGCTCTTCTTCTTCTTCTCATTCCTTCTCTCGAGATGAGAAGCTCTTCTTCTTCTCATTCCTTCTCTCGAGGTGAGAACTCTTCTTCTTCTCATTCCTTCTCTCGAGATGAGAAGCTCTTCTTCTCATTCCTTCTCTCGTTTTCCACTTCTTAATCTTCTTCTTCTTATTCCAATTCTCTTTCTCTTTTTCTCTTTCCTATCGTCTCTCTTTATCCTATTTCTCGTATTTTTCTTCCTACTTTATCTGCCAGTTCTGCCTCTCTTTATCTTCTAAATTTTATTATTCCTAATTTCCTCTTCCACTTTTTCTTATTTTGCCAATTTTTTTTTTTCTCTCTCTCTCTCTCTCTCTCTCTCTCTCTCTCTCTCTCTCTCTCTCTCTCTCTCTCTCTCTCTCTCTCTCTCTCTCTCTCTCTCTTTCTCTCTCTCTCAGAGGAAACAGAAAATATGAAAGGAAATATTTCCAAGGGGAAATTTCATGATATGAAACAAAATACTGATAAAGATAACCCGAAAGAAGAATGTCAATAAAAGAGGGAAGAGCAGACATAGGAGAAGATAGAAACAGATTATGAAGGAAAGAGAAAATATTCATTTAAGCAGAAATAAAAAAAAATAGATAGTGCAAGAGAGAAATTAATCTCTCTTAATTCTTAATTTGTATGAGAAATTACAGCTTGGAAATACAAGGCACATTATATATATATATATATATATATATATATATATATATATATATATATATATATATATATATATATATATATATATATATATATATATATATATATATATATATATATATATATATATATATATATATAGAGAGAGAGAGAGAGAGAGAGAGAGAGAGAGAGAAAACAACATCAAAATAACGTTGGTACATTTAGTTAGGTAAATACTCCAACATACCCTGAAAGTGTAAATTAGTATTTACACCAGGGACACGGCCTTGGGACGAGATAAGACAAAAATACCCCATTTATATGCATATTGCCTAGTGCCAAGAGTGTGAGACGGGAGCCATATTCCGTGGCCCGATGGGTTTAACGCTGGTCTGGCACAGCAAGAGACCCGGGATCGAACACTTTTTTCTTTTTTCTTTTTTTAGTAAAAAACAAAATAGCAAATTAATAAGAATTAAAATAATGATTGACTGCAAAAGGATTTTTTTTCTGTTAGGGAGGGAGAGATTCTCTTTACTAGATAAAATAATAAAATGTATAAATAAATATAAGGGAAATAATTAAATGGGGAAAAAGTTTTAAAAACAATAACAAAATTCGACATTACACGAATCTCAAGATTTATAATAATTATAGCAACAACTACAACAACAACAGCAGCAGCAACAACAACAACAACGACGACAGTAACAATAATAATAATAATAATAATGATAAGAATAATAATAATAATAATAATTATAATAATAATAATAATAATAATAATTCTAATAATAATAATAATAATATTATTAATAATAATCATCATCATCATTATCCTCATCACCATCATTACATACTAATGAAAACCATTACGCACATACCAAACCCCTACACTATTTCATACCAATTTCACCTTAACGAGCATCTTCTCAACCCCCCTCCCCCTCCACATCAATTAGGGAC